ATAGTTTGATGCAAGCCTGTTTAAATCAGGTCAGTGAAGTCAGAAAAGCAGCTATTATCAGGGGAGCAGCGTCATCCCAGAAATGACTGATAGTGCACTGAGTGTCTGAAGAACTTTGCTCATACCTGCCCTCAGTGACCTTAGATGAGCAATTTGTGATGACTGGTGTTTTTGACAAGAGCTTTTCAGTACAAAAGACGTTTCTCTTAGCATCAACTCTCAATGAGACCCATACCCTGTTAGAAGCTGCAAATACTTCTCAAACAAGGGATTATACAAAGGCTGTAGCTGAGAACAGCCACTCTTAAGGGCTTTAACAAAAGCAATAACCAAACATGTAGAACTTGTGCAAAGGAAGGAATGTTCTAGCATGAAGAGATCATAGACAGCATATACTCAAAATGAAGGACAGGAAGAAACAAAAATAATTGGATTGACATATATCAGAACACCTAGTATCCTTTCCTTGTACATCTTTTTTGTTAAAAATAGATTTTTATTATGAGCATCTGGATTTTTATATGGGCTTCCATGTGCAGCAGTCTGTTTTAGATGAGAGAGAATTAATAGAATTCAGGGGTGGTTGGCCTCACTGAATTCAGGAGAGAAAATTCAGTTCAATGTGCAGATCTTTGCATTATTTTTCTGAAGAGGACACCTAGTGGGAGAAGTAGCTGTTGGTGTAAGTGAATAACATCCTCAGAAAACCTAACAGATGATGCTTAGTTACTAAAATGATTCCTCATCTTATTTCTCTGTACTAGAAGGGAAAAAATAGAAATACCTCTTAGATAAAAACAGCAGGTGTCTCTCTGGAGTGAGCCTCAAATTTGTCATCTGTACCAGAAAGAACCAGAAAAATTCCATAATCAGAAAAGTCAGGAGAGCAAATTAAGATCAAGAACTTCATTAGCCTCAGAATCCTCTTCAAGACTGCTTGGGGGCCATTTCACAAAGGCAGCTTGAAGAAATGCAGAGAGGAATCAAGGATATTTTGGGCGCATTTCATATCCTAACATGACAGTGCTTAGTAAATTAGGCAATCTCAAAAAACTGAGAAGTAGAGAGTAGAAATATACTGAGATGCTCAGTAGTGGTTCCTGATGGTGCAGACTGCTGTTGTCCGCATAAAGCGGGTTAGTGCATTGCATTCAGTTCCAGTTTTTTTATAGATACCCATGATACAGAAGAATCTTTTTTACCCATTTCCTTTAGAGAGGAATAAGTCAAGTTCTCTTGGATGGCAAAAGCCTGGCCTTCTGCCAGGCTTCTTCCAGTTTTAGTGCAGTGCCACCACAGTGGCTCTTTTATCTCCTGAAATGCTTTGCAATGAGGCAGACTTAGAGTTGTAGAACACTATAGCCTGACTCCAGCCAAGTTACTTCAATGGTTAGCTTAAGTTAGCTTACTTCATTACTCAAAGTGAGACTGAAACAGTGCTTCCAAAATTAACTGTAAGCAGGGTAAGAATACAGCCTTCTGTTTAGATGGTGATCATTTAACCAATAACACATAATCCCTTTTTTTTACAGTTTCTCACCCAAAGAACAACTATTCCTCAAGAACACCATGTAGTTTACTGCTGTCTTCAGTGACCTCACATGCAACAACCGGCAAGCAAAATACGCACAACCGAAAGTCCTCTAGTAATGCCAAGAACTCTGATAATAAAACAGCCAGCAGTAAAGTACAAAGTCATCCTTCTTCCAATCCTACAGAATCTTCCTCTCAAGGAGTCCCAACAAATAAGCAGGTAACATGTCAAATCAGCCATGAACTGAACTAAATTACTTCAAAACTTTCAGAAAAATACAGCATTGAAAGTTGTTAATACAAAATCAAATAGAGGTTGGTGGTTTATATTCAATTAATAATTTTTGAAGATAGTAAGCATATATTTTCCAGCTTCATTTTGAAGTTAGTGTGAACGTACAAAGTAGAAATAGCATATGAGTAAAGACAAGACAGCTGTCTGTTTAGAAGTATCTAGTGGCAGTAATAGAGTGAAAAAGAAAACCCCTTCATTTTAGCTAAGTGGTATGGAGGAGAAACATGTAGTCCTTGACAAATTATTACATACACTTTGAAAGCAGAATCTTTGCTTAAATGCCAGGCTTAAAAGCATATTATTTCAGAAGCTCTATAATACAGGTTATAGTATTCTGCTATATTAGTAGTATTATTTTATAAATATAGGATTCATATATGAATTGTATTTTGTTGTAATAGTTCTTAGGTAAAGCTGCTGCTAAAGTTGGTCTGAACTTCGTCCTAGTAGGGATTTTAGGTTCAAGTAAATGCCTGGAGAGAAATGTAAGACAGTGCATAATGTCAGAGCATGTATGGAATCACCTGGCCTGTCAGGCATGCAAATAAGAGTAATTCAGCCACTTCCTACTAAGAATCAAAGCATCCTCTGAGCAAAAATATCACAATGGACGTGTCTTCCAGAATGAGGATTCTTCACTTGACTTCAGTGTACATGTGGCATGTCTGTTCTTCCTGCAGTCATACTGCAGTACTTGTACAATGCTTTACTAGGAAAGCAATAGTGATTATTTTGGAAAAAGTCAGTATTAAGTTCTTCAGTACTTCTTAACTGCTCAGAGAATCCCAGAGTATCCTGAGTCCCACTCCTGGTCCTGCACAAGACACCCCAAGAATCCCACCATGTGCCTCAGAGCATTGTCCAACCACTTCCTGAGCTCTGTCAGGGTTGATGCTGTGACCCCTTTCCTGGAGAGCCTGTTCCAGTGCACAGCCATCCTCTGGGTAAAGAACTTCTCCCTGATACACAACCTAAACCTCCTCTTACCCAGCTTCAGGCCATTCCCTCTGGTCCTGTCACTGGTCACTATGGAGCAGAGATCAGTGCCTGTCCCTCCTCTTTCCCTCACAGGAAGCTGTGACTGCAGTGAGGTCTCCTCCAGGCTGAGCAGACCAAGTGACCTCAGCCACTCCTCACACGGCTTCTCCTCAAGGCCCTTCACCACCTTCCTGACTCTCCTTTGGACACTCTCTAATAGTTTCATGTCTTTCCTATATCACGGCACCCAGAATTGCCCCCAGCACTTGAGATGAGGCTGCCCCAGTGCAGAGCAGAGCAGGACAATCCCCTCCCTTGCCCAGCTGGAGATGCTGTGCCTGGTGACCCCCAGGACACGCTTGGCCCTCCTGGCTGCCAAGGCATTTCTGATTCATATTTAACTTCTCTTGACCAGAACCTGCAGATCCCTTTTCTCAACAACTGCTGTTGAGATGTCTAGAATTTCATCCCCTTTTCTGTATTCTCTTGAATCATGGCAGATTTTAATTTGGCATCAGTGACGAGCCTGCCATCTGTATCTCCAGGCTACTCAGATGTAGTGGGGTACTCATAGTTCTGATTATAGGTATTATAAAGAGACTCTGGTAACAACTAAAACTTTTTAGTGTTCTCCCTCTCCTGTTCCCTCCTAACAGCAACACTGTTAATTTTGACTGCAGTGTTTCTTGGCTTGTTGGAAGGATTCAGACAACCTAACAGTTATCTGATTTCTTTCTGGGTAGAATGGGCCTTCTAGCCAGAGACGGAGATTCAACTCACAGCACCAAAACATGCGGCTCAATGGATCTCATAAGTCACAAGGTGCCAGTAATGAGGCAGATCAAAATACCAAGAGTGGTTCCAGGCCTGAACACAGAAGACAGCAGCATAACAGCTTTCGATCTAAAAATAAAGGAGCTCTGAAAAATCAAGAGCAGTCTACAACTGCAAGGACCACAGAGAATGCGACGCATTCGGAGAAGTCCCGACGGAAGCACCACACACCGGACACCGCAGAGCACAGGCCTTTCCAAGGCAGCGCTGGCAGGGCGTCACAATGCAATTTATGTCCTGCAAGGATGGAGGTCTCTGCTGATGCCACTGTTCTTTCAGTGCCAGCTGTGACTTTGGTGGCTTAAAATGTCACAGTGATGGCAGGCAGAGAAATTCAATCTCTTCATTTTAGTTTGTTGCTCGGAAAGCTTGTTGGTGAAGAAAATAAGTCAGAACGTAGTCTTTTAAATCTTTTGCTGCTTAAAACTTGTTGGTATCTTTATTACTACTAATTATCAAAATTAAATCATACTTTCAAGGCTTTCCCCAATATGTTCGCATTTATTTTGTCATGACTGTACAGAATCTTACCAAAGCAGCATTTACTTCTTAGAAAAATTAAATCTAGATTGGAAAGATAAATTGGTAATTAAATTCATAATAGCAAAAACATGTTGTAGATATGTGGTTATACCAGTCAACCTTATTATTTCATAGAACAGCCCATGTTAGAAGGATCCCAGGAAGTCTGTATGCTATGGTCTGCAGTGAAATCAAATAATCTTGTAGAATTTTTCAGCAAATCTCTATACACTTCTTTCTTTCTGTACGTGTATACATGTACATGCATGCACACTGTATACACACAGAGTATTGTTCTATACAAGAAGAGTTGAAAAAGCAGTTAATTTGATTTTAGCTTATTATTCCATAATCTGAGATCTTTAAATTCAAGTATAAATTGTATTAAATGTATTACATATTGGTATTTTTCATGGACAAACTATTTTTATGAGGCTGAGGAAATATGCTCATTTAAGTTTGGAATGTATATAGTAATGGCTATTCAGATGCACAGCCCTGTTCTCCATCCTTATCAGCCACTTTTCTATGACTAGTTGGATTTATTTTTTGCATATGAAAAGTTGCAGGTCTTCTAGACTTGAATTCAAATTATTTTTCTATATTTTTGCTGTAGGAACCATCTGTCCATAACAAGAGCTATGACTAATAAATTACTTAGTCTTTATGTTCTGATTCTGTATTTCAGAAAACCTGTTTCTTCCAAATAATTAAAATCTTCTTTCTAAAATACTCTGTTGTTTGCTGCTTTGCAGTTCCTAACCTGTGCTCTTACTCAAATTGTATTTGCGTAGTGGAAGTGGTATCCATGGGAGACTTTCAGCTGAGTTTGGACTGGACTAAGGCTTTTGCTTCCAGCTTTATTCTAATGCCACAGCCTTGCCGTGAGAACCACCTCCATGCTGAGCGCATTTTACAGGAAGTTATTGTTTAACATTGTAAGGTGTCAGAATCTAAAGCTGACGTCAAGTGACCTGTTGGCCCAAGTGTCAGAATCAGAAAGGTGTTAAAGGTCAGTAAGAGCAGGAGGACACTTAAGTAGCTTTAAAAGTTTACACCTAGGTGATTGTTCACTATTGCTTTTTACAATTTCCTCTGCCTAATTTCTGTTCTCTGACTGTACACTTCCTTAGTACTGACTGGATTATTCCCTTCTGGGGCCTTTGAAAAATAATCTCCAAGGGAAGAGTGAAGTGCATTCCCATATTTTTATTTTTCTTTATATGCATATACAGTGTCCCACATGTGAATATTGGTAAAACCTGATTTTAAAAGGCCAGTAACTCATTGTCATCTACAAGAGTGGTGAAAGAAAAATAAACATGTTGGTAGACATTGGCTTTCTTAGCCCTGCAAGCACCACTATTATCCTAGTTAACTACCTATCACACTTTTAAGCTGAATGTTTTGGAGTAGATGGAACTGAAATTCCAGAATCTCTGTTGTGCATACCCATCAGATAGGTAGCTTTTCAAAATTTATCTGCTGCATCACAGTTTTTAATTATTTACAGTTTATCTACAGTTTCACTGTAACCTCACTCTAAGAGATTTAATTATAAATTTTATGCAGATATTACACAGGAACTTCTTGTCTACATCTAAGCTGTGAAATGTGTCTCTTCTTATAATCCTTCCTAAAAAAAAGAAAATCTAACTTACCTGTAATAACATTTATTCCTTCCTTATAGCTTCTACATTTGATTTTTGCATTATTGAAAGTTACTTTATTCCTTAAGTCAGTTTCTCACAAGTGACCTTCTGCAGATAAATAAATAAAATCTGTAACATAAGTCATAACTCAGCACAACAGGACCATCTTGTGCTCTTCAGTACCAGCCAAGCTTTGATGTACTGGAGGCTCAGTACAGACAGATCCAGGACTAACAGGTGAGAGATGGCATTTCTCTTTTCTCTGATGATATAGAGACATCTTTTTTGTTAAAGAGCTGTGTGTGGGTTTGGTAAGGCTGTAGAGAGGGCTGCTTGTGGGCATGCTGCAGTTTTAGCACACCAAGTTTTGTCTAGTGTCTGCACTGGTTTGGGAAGGTTATTCCAATGCACATTTTAACCCTATTTTGTGACTGTACTCTGGAACTGTGTCAGACTCTTCATCTTTCATTTCATGGGTTTCTGTATACTTGGAATTATATCTGCCCATTTCATGGTAGTTACAAGTAGCCAAAAGCTCTTGGGCTCATCTTCCACAAAACTGGTTTTATCTTCTCATTGCAGAGACAACTACCTGCAATTCTCCTTTTAAGGGACTTGTTGAGGGGCAGTAAAGGAATTTATGGCAGGACAAGGCTTCCCTTCCAGGCCAGTCCTCTTTTATATAAAAGTCCCCTCACTTGGCAAAGCAAATACAGCTGTTTGGCCTCATTCAAACACAAACATGGAATTCCCACTGCACTTAGTGCTCTTCCAGAAATGGAAACACATCTTAAGGAGGCAGTATTTTAAAGCAGGTTGAATCTATTTATCTTTTGTGTAAGTTTAATTCAGTGTAAGGACAAAATAAAGATCTGCATACACAGCTGGAAGACTAAAAAGTGAAGTTAACTTAATGCAGTCAGGATCTTTGGAAAACTTACATTAGTTAACCATGTTTGGGAAAAAAGAAAAGATAAAAAACCCTGCATTTAATGTGCTTGAAAATGTCTCCTTTAAAGAAAACCTAATTATTCTGGAATTGGAATAACTTGCTGAACACTTCTTTTTTAACATGATCTCTGCTGTAATGATTTATAATTTCACAAAGATTTAAAGTAAGCCATTGTCACACCACTTGGCAGTGCATCTAGTTCCAGTCACCATGAAAGTTAATGCTATCCATCTATCATAAAATGCTTCATTATCACTCTTAGCAGTTAATCAAGAGTGATCAAGATTCTGTGATATAAAAAACATGCTGGAAGTGCCTACTTAGATAAGTTAAAAGGCCATGTTAGCACCTCATCCCATTGAAAATAAACAAATAAAATCAATTCTTTCTTTCTTTACCTTCTTCACCACAGCCACTTTCTCATTTCATCTACTGAAATTCAAGGGGGTTGGTTTTTATTCATTTAAACACAAGCTAGTATGTCCACGACAAAGAGAAGACTCATTAATGCTGCTGTAATGCAAATGGCACAAATGTTACTTGAAAAATACTGTACTATCAAAATAATTAAGTAAACACTGAGGTAGTACAAAGTCCTGTAGGAATGTTCTCAATGCTTTTTCTTGTATGCCTTTTAGTACTTAAATTATATTCTCTGATTCCATGTTTATAGAAGCTTTCCAAATTCAAAAGTTGAAAGAAATCAGCTTTAGACAGCCTTGTAAAAATATTTTAAGGTGCATGGTAAAGTGCTCAGATATTGAATAAATAGTGAAGTAGAAATCACACAGAAGTATTAAAAACTGCTTTTCAGTCAGATTATTATGAAAAATAAATTTCACAAATTTAGTCTCAAATGATCAAAGAATACTAGAGTACATGATGTTAGTATCCTTCAATAATTTCTGCTTTGTCCTTTGTCCAGTGAAACTGTTTTTGTTGAGATAGGAAGAGCCTTGGGATTGTTGATCTCCAGGTTTATTTTTAAAGAAAAAACACCAGCTTAAATAATCTAAAGGTCAGCTGGTCTTCCATATACACACCAATAGCAGAAAATTATAGTGCTCTATACCTTTATAGTCACTACCGTTTATGGCAAAATGTCTCATGTTAATACAGAAAAATTTGGGGCTTTTTACTTGTGCAAATTATGTTTCAAGTCCTTATGGTTGGAAGCAAAACCTGAAAATGTGATGGCTTTAATGTTCTAGCAAATAAAACATTTAAAGAACCCTTCTGTAATTCTAATAGTCTCAGGAATTTTAAGAACTTGCTTTTTGGCAATGTTCTTAAAGACAGCTGTATTTACTGTGCTGGAGAAGCAAAAGTAGTCATAAAAACAGCAAAAAAAACCCGGCACCCAACTCTTAGCAAGCATACAAAACAAAGCCAGGTTTTGTTCACTGATTTAAACAGCTAAAAGGGCTCTTGAAAATCAACAATCCAAACTTGCCTTTCCTCTGCTGATAGAAACATACAGCAGCTCTTTGTTTCAGTATCATTACTCAACATTTGCCCTGCTACAAGAATGTCTCCTCCAGCCTGCACGAGGGGAAGGAGGGAGGCTTTTTCTTTAAACCACGGCATTTTGACCTCAACTTCTGTGCTTTGCTGTAGTGCCCTCTGAAAGGACCTGCAGAAGGACATGGAAGGCCAGGTGTAACTAAGACCCTGCAGCCCCAGAAAAGCCATCCCCTAGCAGTGTGACACAAAATGCCACAGCTGCACCAGCCTCGCCCCAGTGGCAGATCACAGCACAGTATTGTGTGTCTGTAAATGGGTGTCTCTCCAGAGAGAGCAGCCTTGTTACTCACACAGCACACTTCTTCCCTTCCTGTGTTTCTGAATTTTCTCTCACTGCACAAGCACAGGTGATCCCTTGCATTGCCAGTAAGAGCAAAAATGGTGATTTACCCTCACCAGAAGTGCCAGTAAGTGCATTCAACTTCTGGTGCTCTCTGCAGCACGCATATGTTGTACACTTGCAGCAAACTTCTATCTAATAAAAGCTACTTACTTTTCTTCCCTTTCTTCCCCCTTTTAAAGGTAAAAACTGAGGTTCACTGTAGTTAAAATTGATAAAGAGGTTTTCTTTTATGCTGTGCAAGTACTCACGTTACAGTACAGCACAACAAAATACAAATGGGTGTTACTGGAATGTTAAGCTGCATGTGCTTGAGTGATTTTTTAATCCATTTTTCTTCCTCCCTTACCAACATCTAAAAATATCTAGAAATAAAGCAGAAAACACATTTCAGTGCTCTTAAAACAATTTCTTCCTGTGCTTTTTATTATCTTTTTCAGCACAATTTTCTACCTCATCTTGAATAAAGAATCACATGAGATAATGACCTCTTCTTCAACCGTACAATGTAGAGCTGTCCAGTCTATCAGACTGAGTCAAACACTACCCCCTTTATCATTCTTAAGGGTAATACTTTCTGCTAATACAGCTGGTTCTTTCTTGTTTAGCACTGCAGGAATTTCAGCACAGTCCTGTTCACTTGTTTTACTGGATGCAGAAGGTGGTGGCTGAGATGGTGTCTCAAGAAAAGCAGAGTCCTTTTCACCTTCACTGCACGGTTGTTCACAGGCTTCCTACTCCCTGCAGCTGGAGTGGCATTTGGCTCAGTGGCCCATTGCCAGCACTCGGCCTTCCTCAGGGACCCTGGGACTTGCTGGGCACTGCTGTGCACGTTGTAGAGTGGTTTGAGAAACTTCTTTGTGCAGCATCAGACTTTCACCATGGGGTCATGTAAGAATTGCTGCAGAATGTGAAGCATTGCAAGCAGCTATCTTTTATGAAGATGAATTTTTGACTTTTATGTGGGTACTTGTTGAAGGACCTGAGAATTTAATTGGCTGGAGACCTACTTTACATGGTAAACAGCTTTCTACTTCGGTACAGTCAATTAATCATCTGTAAAACAAAGAACTTCAATTTTAAAAAATCAACCATATATGTAAATTGTTATTTTTCTAACATTATTACAAAACAGACCATCTGCAACAGCCTTTCACAAATAGGTTTACATGATACTGTAAGAAGCATAAATTAGTGCTCCCAACAGTTCATCACTACAATCAGGGCTGCCTTTCTGTGATTAGAACCATCAATCTCTTCTGCCTCTCTTAGATGACACATTAAAAATTGTAGCAGTGAAGTGGCTGTAGGCTGGCTCAGGTGACTGTGCCAGCAAAATGCTGCTTTTAGGTAACATGTGGAGAATGGAGGTGTAATCATAAATATCACCAGAAAACTGCAGAGAGGAAGTTCTAGAAATTCCTTTTAAAAGAATACATCTCCAAGTTATGAAAATCAGTTAACCTTTTAAAGTTTTCATTTAAATTTCTGGTTTAGCAGTCCATTTAACTAATACTGCTCTCAAGTTTTGCAAGTTACTCCTTGCCAGGCTGCTGAGAAATCTCACCAGCCTAAAAAAACCCCATAATCTTTTTTCTAGCGAGTTCAGTTGTGCAATTAAGAACTCTTTGACGTTTAATAAAAATGTAAATTAAAAAAACCCAGAGAAATCTCAACATGCATAGATATTTAAGGAACATGAAATTATAGAGGGGGAAAAAAAAGATGGCACTGTATTTGTTTATTAATTTTACACCACCTATGCAAATGAGTATACCTTTTATAAACTGGAGGCATATGGTGCAAACTGCCTCTCGGGGGCGTTGTTCCAGAGTCCGACATTCAGTCAGCTCCTGAGGCACTCTGCAGTAGCTGACACTTGCATTTCATAGCAGCACTGTACTGGTGAGCTGAGAAAACACAGCCATGCATATTTACACCTGACTAAATACATGAATACATGTATTTTATTATGCAGAATTTAGGCTCTCAACCTGCTGACCTGAGCATTGCTCCCAGCCAGCATGGTGCTTCATTCATGACAATTTCTGTCCCCTCTCTGGAACATCCCATAAAACATTTTCTTCCCTCCAAAGAGGCACCACTATTTTACAATGTTACGAAAGTTTATGCAGAGGTTTTTATTATACTTAGTTGGCAAATATTTTTTCTTCTTTTTATGTTAAAATGTAGTAATACTGAAATACAAAATTATTACTCTACCTCTCCCTTTCCAGGCATCAAAAGCATCCATCATCTTTTTCAGCTCAGCTACTGAGTAATAGCTCCAGATGTATTAGATGTTATTTCAGCTTCTCTAGGAATATTATTTTAAAGGTAACATTCAAGTGATTAGTTAGCTAAGTCCTTAGAAATGTACCTTGGTGAAATATAGAATTCTTTTTACTAAATCCTAACTATAAGGACTTAGCAGTAAATGTTTTATAAAGCATAAGGAAAATGTTACTCTGATTTTTTTATTCAAATAAGAGGTTCTAATCCTCCTGTGAATGCCTATTGCTAAAATTGGATATTCATGAAAGGATAGATGTTCATAGAAGAATAATTACAGAATTAATTATGTAAAACCTATTTTCCTAGAATATACAGTAGGAGAACAGATACCTCATATGTTGCCGAATACCACTGGAATAAATATTAATGTTCCCAGCCTAAATTTAGGAAGATATGCATCCTAATTATAAAGATGATGAAGCATCAAGAGCTCTATCTTCATCAAAAGATGCACAGTGACACTTCTGACACTGCGCTGTGAGAGTGACAAAGACCAACTGCTTCCAGTTGTAAGTACAGGTCTGCCAATAATTTCAAATTGCTGCCATGTAAATACATTAATAGTGCAGTACAGCTGTACACGTTCTTTAAAGAATTAAAGCCATTTCTTTTCATCTTTGCTTCTCAGTGTTCAGCTGTCATAGAAGGCTGCACAAAAGAAGTGCATAAATCCCAACCAACTTTGCAAATATTTCTGGAGGTTTTTCTGTATGGGGATTTATTCACTGTATTTAGTTTAAATATTAGAAAGTAATTTTAATTGTTGTTTTAATTGTATTTTAAAAATATTAAGTCTAGCACAATAAGAACTTAACAGCAACTGCATGCTAACAATCTTGTGTGTACTCTCTCAAATTCTTAACCTCCAAGTTTAGTTTTTATCTTGGTTATTTGTTTAATGTGGCCATTCTATTATCCAGCTTTGGGAGCTGGAAAGATGCCTTTCACAGATTTATAGTACAATAATGCTGCATTATGCTACATAGGATAATATTTAGGCATAGTTATAATATGTATTTATTCTCACTTCATAGTGCTTTCATGTTTGACAGTCACCGTACATTTGTACAAGATTTTACCATGAATTTTCATTCCTAGCACCTTATTAATTGCATCAGTCCCATCTGCTCTTGTGGTATACACACCAATAATTTTACTTTCACAGCTTCCTCCAGAAGTGGAGATAGTGCAGGAGCTAAACTGTAGGCTTGGTGCAAACTAAATTGTAAGAATCACAGAAATCCAACAAATCCTAGAAAAAACATAAAACATATAGAATATTAATAAGAATGAAGTATTTTTAGTTGAATAAGCTTTTATATTTAAGTTTTCTTAACTCTACCAGTGAGCTCTTTTAAATAAATCAAGGATATAGTTTTTCTAGAATAACGTCTGCAGTTATTTCTTATCTGATGTTACCAGAGAATGTTGTGAAACTAAGAGGTTCAGAAAGGCAACAGAAATAGTTAAAGGCAAGGCAGCTCCTTAACATGCAGAGAAACGAAAAGGCCTGGAATTGTTTTACACTTTTTAAAAGGAAATGAGTAAGGGAGAACGTGAAATACAGAGACAACTTGCTAAGAGAACATAGATGACTGTCAGGAATAACACAGCCAGAGCTCGTAGTATGAGTTAATTTCCTGCCAGTTAATTTGAATTAGCTTTTAAGTTACAATACTCTAAAACCTTAGGATTTTAAATAATACACTAATTATCTTTTCTCCTTTCTCATTCTAATGAAATGTCAGAGTACATTTTGGCTTACAAGTTTTAGGAATAATTTGTAAAACTGAAAAAGAAACCCCATCCCAAACTACTTGAAGGGGTCAAATCTAATTTCAAGTAAGATTTGAAGCCAAATAGGAAACTAAATTTCCTTCCTACTACACAAGTTCTACAGCAGACTTGCATGTACAACACTCACATTTAAACTGTTGCTGTATTGCAATGATGGTAAAAGCTGGTGTCCTTAATTATACCGACTGCATTATCAACTCTAGGATTTCTTAACCTAAAACTCTGAATTTACTCATGATTTAGTGTGGTCACTAAGAAGTGCTAACTTGGACATTCTGTAGTTTTAGTGTTTGATGCTAAAGAATGGCATGGGTTGGGGAGTTCAGCATCAAAAATTTTAATAAATATCAGGACCTTTTTAAGCTCTATATTGGACCTTGAAGAGTGTATTTCCATTTCATTAGCCAAATGATCAGACAGACTGTATGGATAAGGGATTCCAAAATAATCTGCTTCCTCCTGCAGTGCAGTTCTAACTTTTTCATCTTCAGGAATCTGAATTTCTCCATTAAGATAATCCGAAAGATATTTAAACAGGTTTCCATCTTGATCAATTAGACATGCTCCTGAAAACATTAAGTTATTTAAAATACTTCACCAAATCATCGAGTACAGCCTTTTGTACAAAATTTCTGTGCTGGTTTTACTGAGGAGGAGTAAGTATACTGTCTTTATTCTTTTTAAATGGTCTTTTATTTTCCTGGAATATTTGTTATTTGAAGATAAAATTCTTAGTGCGGTAAACATTTCTTTGGAGTTTTAGTGAAATCACTTTTTACTCACTGTTGCAGGGATCTGTTCTATTTTGCTTCTAGACCATTTAAAAGAGTTAAAATCAGCATCAGTTCCCGTACACATCTAGTGAAACCTTCCCTGGATATTGCTCAAGTTATACTGTGTTTGTTTCTTTTTCTCTCCCTTGCCTGCAGGGCTCGAGGACCCCACAAAAGCCAACCAAACCATACAGTCTGTACAACAGGCTGTTCACTGCAACTGTGAAAGATGGTAGCAAAGTCCTGCTGTGTTATGCAAACTCCTTATGTTAAACATTTTGGGTATTTTCAACAGTTTTATGTATGCAACAAGGAATTACTATTCTTCATCCATCGTCCCTTTTAACTGGATCTACTTTGGCAGGATTTCTAAGTCACAAACAAGTGTGAAATTTCACCCATGAATAGTTTTATTCAAACTTTTATATCAAGCCATGGTGGTGAAAAATGCAATTTTTACTGTTTGAAACAAAGATCAGACCCAAATCTCTATATGTAATGAACAGAGGGAATGAGATGCCTCTGGAGATTATAGGGGTTCACAGACAGACTCAAGATAAATGCCAAACACTCTGCCAACTTCAGTTTTATCTATTTTTGTATTCTTACTGAAGAAGTAGATTCCAAAGACACAGTGTGGACAGGGATATGGCACTGTAAAAATGTGTGTGTTTGCAAGCACAAATAGACTTGTGGAATTCAGATGAACTACCTGTACATATAAAGTCATGCATGCAGAATTGTTTTACAACCTCGAATTAGAAGCCAACTGATGCTTAGCAAACTGGGAAAAGATACACTAAAAAATGCATAAATATATATAAAAGCATGTATTTGCCAAAGAGCTCCATGATCAGAATGTGGTATTTAGAGCTTCAATGTATTTACCTGATTCATGCACTTTCAGAGGAAAGCATCCACCAAACATGGGCGCCAGCATGGAATCCTTTAAGCGGTGCAGAGACTCACGCCTGGCTGTGTATAAACAGCCTTGCACATCCCGTCAGAGAATGTCCTGGACATCTTCAACCTTGCCCTCTTCCACTGCATTTGCCAATGGTGATGTCATTACGAGCTATTCAAACCTAAACCAGATACAAATAGCAATCAAACTAATGCCAGCTACAGACTTAACATATCACATACAAGACCTAAGCAATAGCTCAGCTCTTGCACATCTGTAATAGGATACCACTTTAAAAACAGTTCTGGAGACCTAGTAAAGCAAATAGCCAAATATTCTGCACCTTTAGTGTAACAACCTATGACATTTTACTTTGCAAGGAAACACAAAGCTTACTCTTTTGAGACAAATGGGCAAGCAGAGTTACGTGGTGAGGATGTGTGACTAGAGCTCTGGAAGGATAACCTGGGAAATCCTGAGCATAGTTCACAGCACTAAAAATGCAGCTCTCTTTGAACCAACGACACCGAGGCTTCTTTAAAAACCGATCTTTAATTAGGGCTGCTTTAACTTCCCGGGCCGCTCGCTCGCCCCTCCCAGCCCCCGGGGCGCTGCTCCGCCCAGGAGCGGAAAGCGCCGCGCGCCCTCGGCCCGGAGCAGCGCTCAGGGCCCGGCCGGGCCGGCGGCCCGCGTCACCTAAGCGCTGCTGCTCCGCGAAATGGCAGTGCGCCGGGCCAGGCCGGGCCGGGGGAGCGGAGGGGCAGCCGGAGTGGCCCGGCCGCGCCATCCCCTCCCCGGAGTCCCTGCCGCGGGCCAGCCCGGTGCCAGGGCCCCCGGGGCTCGGCTGCCGCTGCTCCCGGCGCTGCTGGCAGGGGCTCCCTCAGGCGCCCTCCCGAGTGTGGCTGACCCACCTGCAGTCGGCTGCTCTGTGACGCACAAACCGTGCTTAATTTTTTTTAATTTTTTTTTTATTATTATTATAAGTACGGGTTTACTCAGAGTGGGTTTGATTCTATTGCTGTTTCTATAGGTTCCATAGTAAGAATCTTAGAATGGTTTGGCTTGGAAGGGGACCTTGAAGATTATCTACTAACAGCGATCCCCCGCCTTGAACACGGGTGGGGCGTCCACAAGTTTCCTGGGCAACCTGCTCCAGTACCTCACCACCCTCACAGAAAAGAATGAACAGGTTAATATTAGCTATTTTTTCCTAACAGCTAATATAAACCTGTTCAATTTGAACATATTTCCTCTTGTCCTGGCACTACATACTCATATAAATACTATTGCTTATCTTTCCTGTAAGTTCCTTAAAGGTACTGGAAGGCTGCACTTAGGTCACCCCAAAGCCCTCTCTTCCCCATTCTGAACAAACCCAGTTCTCTCGTCTTTCCTCAAAAGAGAGATGCTCCATTTCTCTGATCTCTTGGTGGCCTCCTCTGCACTCACTCCACCAGGTGCCTGTCCCTCCTGTGCTGGCCCCAGAGCTGATGCAGGGTTCCAGGTGGGATCTCAGAGCAGAGGGGCAGAATCCCCTGCCTTGCCTTGCCCTGCTGCCCACGGGGCTTTGGATGCAGCCCAGGGCAGGTTTGGCTTTCTGGGCTGGGAGTGCCCATGGCTGGGTCATGGCCAGCCTGCCCTCCACCAGCTGCCCCCAAGCCCTCAGCAGGGCAGGTCTCGATCTGACAGCAGCTTGAGCTGACTCCTGTCATGGTGCTGCTGGGTTGATGGCAGAGGATCTCGAAGGTCTCTTCCAACCTTGATGATTCTGTGATTCAGTAAAGCAGGCAAGATGCCTGACCCTCATACAGTCATTTTAAAAAGACATTCAGAAAGTGTCCTATAAAATTCCTTGTCTGACATACAGTTATGTGATCATCAAAATGCATGCAATAAACAATAGAAAGGTGAAAATAAGTTCTTGTTACACATTCGTCTCAGCCTCATTAAAGAAAGTCTATATACATGAAAAATATTTCTAAAATGCAGCTGCATTTTCTTTAAAAATATTGCAACATTATGTCTAGTTCCCATTTAATTCTCCTTTATTTGCTTACAAAGTTTGTTTTTTGCCCAGTCATACAGTAAGAAACTATCCTTTTGGATACAACTGCCAAGTAAGTAGGAGTGCAAAAACCAGCACCAAACTCTGGATTTGTGCAGACTTTCTGGAAGGTATGAGCTGGTTATGTGTTTAAAATATAAAATATACAATATATTATATAAAATATATTATATTTTATTTATCATATTTACTATATTATGAGATAACTAAATCCCAGATATTAACAGTGTACTTTTATTGATACCTGAAGTGCAGTAAAAATCCACTTACTTTACTGTATACTGCACATATAAGAAATGTGCCTACATTGTATTTAAAAAATTCACTCAGTTATATTTGCAATTCCTATTGATTTTCATCCTGTATTACCTTAATTTTTTACTCCTAATTTCCTTTTTGAGGTGTTTTGTCACCAATTTAAGGTATTTAAAACTTCAGCTACAGGCTCACTTGCAAAAGGGTCAGACCAAATGGTATGTAACACACAGCAGCTACAGTTCCAGCTGTGTCACTTGCTTTATTCTGGTCTGTTACTACATTTTTATTTTTGAGATTACCTAAATATTCATGGACTACCATGTTTTCAGTTAATATTTAGGACCATTAACTTTTAATTCAGACTTCAGTCAAATGAAGAACATTAGAGGAAAGAGGCAAATAAATCATATAAATCATCATCTGGTCCTAGTACAGGGATAATAAATTCTTTTTGAAATTGTGTAACTCTGAATGATCACTTACTACTTAAAACTCACTTCTTTTTATCTTAATGCAGATTTGCATTCAAATGGCACTTCAGGCCATTTAAAGCCATAAAGTAAACACATTTCATTTTTCTTGGCATCTAATCCTGCTCCAGTTGTGGCAAAGAGAGGGAATGGTATGCCAAGCACCAAGGCTCTCCCTGACAGTTCTTGACCAAGAGTGTACCCAGAAGCCAGGTTTATATATATATAAACAAACAATGCAATAGGTTTTGGACCTCAGATTTAACCATGTGAATTATCGTTACAAGTCAGGTTTAGTAGAGCATTTACTTGGCATAGAAGTGTGCAGCATAACCAGCCCCCACAAGCAAAGAGCCTTTTGAGCTATGTGTTTTGGGAAGTGAACACAGGGATGTTTTCATTTTGGTGTTTGCTAGTTTCCCAAGGAAGCCAGGCTTGCATACTCATCCTCTATATATTTGTGTTTCACTTCACCAATTTCAGTCAAATTTGATGGAGAGGAAGAGGCATTAAGAAATGGATTTTTCATTAAGCTTGTGCAAGAAGTGATGTGATTAGAGGAAGATAGGTTCTTAATACTGTAATTTCAGGAAAAGTTGTATCATGAGCTCAGGTCTTGTTTGACATAAGAAAATCCAGAAAGAGAGAAACTGTTCTACATAATCTACTCACCAGAAGTGCTTTAGTCATAGCTCACACTGTATTAGGCATTACAGAATTAATTCCTCAACCAAGATTCTTCTAAGACATGAATATGTATGCATCTAGTGAAGTACAAGTTCAGTTCCCATATGATTAGAGCTTTCACAAGAGTCTGCGTGTCTATCCCTCACTGCTTTTCATTTCTATTCAGTTTAAAGACCAGTCATAGGATCCCAAGTGACTGAAACTCATAATTCTGCTTTTAATATACATTTAAGATATATAGGCTGTGAAACTTGGCAGTGCTTTAAGTTCTTCCCTACTTTGAGTAGCTGGCAATTAACTGGAGATTTGTACATGTGAAGTGCTCCAGCGTGGGAGTTCCTCAGTGAAGTGTAAAGGAAAGTATGACTATGGGTGGGAATGCAATACTTCACAATTTATTTTAAATTTATTGCCCACAGTAGTGACATTGGAAGCAAATTGGTGATTGCCTCTTCAAGACTTTAGACTGTTGTGGAATTGGAGGAAATGAAGACTCAGTGTTGGATCTGGAGGAAAGCACTGCCTTGTGGAAAGGAGGAGGAGGTAAGTTCTATTAGATTGGTTTTCTGTTTCTAAAGTTATGTAAGGTTATTTGCTCTTTTATTTGGCCAGAGTTTTATAGTGGCTACAGTCCCTTCCAAGTTTCCTTGTGAGGGAAAACATACCAAAGGTATATGAGGTGTGCTGGATCAAAGCTGTATTTTAAGGGTTTTGCACCTTCAGGGCCGCACTGAGAAACTCTGTCATACATCATTCACTAAAAAGGTAGAAGTGAGGGACTCTCCAGATGCTCTCTAGAGCAGATGATGAAAATAGTAAGTTCATGAAGATCCATTTTCATGTAATGCTACTTATATTTAATATGTGATTCCTTTGACTTACTTTATAGAATATTGTAATGTTGGCACACAGCGTGGTAAGGTTTGTGATGATTACTGCATTACAGAAACTGATGCTTTTTATTTCAACCTTCTGAAGCTCTGTAAATCTTCAAAAAACATTAATTCAGCTTACTCTAAAATTACCAATTCCTGGATCAAATTTAGCAATTAATGTCTACCTGAGCTAATGGTAGAACTGGGCACATGTAGCCTGTAAAAGAGAATGTATGTGAAGAAAGTGTTAAAGGGCTTTTGGACTTAAAAGAGATTTTGGGGAAAAGCATTGAATTAGACTAAAGTACTTCCAGGCAATTCACAGTCTTGATATTACCTGAACCACATTAAAACTGGGCTTGCTCAAATTCTGTTGTCAGAGACTTCCTGCCCTTCCAGGTCTGTAGGTATGCAAGCAGCATATAATCTACTAGGCTGTAAATTTATCATGGCTGTATTCCTAACTACCCTGATGTCTGTCTATACATTGTTATTCCTTGTATTACTAATAGCTCAAAATCAGCCACAAAGAAATTTAACTTGCCACTGAGAAGGAATTGCATGTTTTTCCCCCTTAAACCTAAAGAAAGTCTTTGAACTGAAAGCCAAACATCTCAAACTCTGGAGTATCTGGAGCTTCCTACTCCCTTCCTCACAGTACACTGAGATTGATGCTAAGCTAACCAAAAAATGTTTGTTTTTTTAAATTTAATTGTATGTTATTAATGGTTGGTATTGAAAATGGTACGTAGCTGGGAAGTTACAAACACCCAACTCCTTTTTAAACCACTCAGAGATGTGTCTGAAGAGCCGGAACCGTGGATTAGCGGTTAATGACGGCTGTTTTACCACTTCTGAGACGCCCTTGGCCGAAGGGGAGAGCCCAGCTGAGCTCCTTTACCGCGGCCCATTCCGCACTGGGTGAGCCCCGCGCCACCGGCCGCTCCCGCTCCGGAGCCCCGCGCGCCCAGCCCGGCCC